TATATACTGACACAGTAGACGTCAGTTTATATACCACGTCAGTTTATATACTGACACAGTAGAGGGCCACGTCAGTTTATATACTGACACAGTAGAGGGGCCACGTCAGTTTATATACTTTGACACAGTAGAGGGGCCACGTCAGTTTATATACTGACACAGTAGAGGGGCCACGTCAGTTTATATACTGACACAGTAGAGGGGCCACGTCAGTTTATATACTGACACAGTAGAGGGCCACGTCAGTTTATATACTGACACAGTAGAGGGCCACGTCAGTTTATATACTGACACAGTAGAGGGCCACGTCGGTTTATATACTGACACAGTAGAGGGGCCACGTCAGTTTATATACTGAGTAGAGGGGCCACGTCAGTTTATATACTGACACAGTAGAGGGCCACGTCAGTTTATATACTGACACAGTAGAGGGCCACGTCAGTTTATATACTGACACAGTAGAGGGCCACGTCAGTTTATATACTGACACAGTAGAGGGGCCACGTCAGTTTATATACTGACACAGTAGAGGGCCACGTCGGTTTATATACTGACACAGTAGAGGGGCCACGTCAGTTTATATACTGACACAGTAGAGGGCCACGTCAGTTTATATACTGACACAGTAGAGGGGCCACGTCAGTTTATATACTGACACAGTAGAGGGCCACGTCAGTTTATATACTGACACAGTAGAGGGGCCACGTCGGTTTATATACTGACACAGTAGAGGGCCACGTCAGTTTATATACTGACACAGTAGAGGGCCACGTCAGTTTATATACTGACACAGTAGAGGGGCCACGTCAGTTTATATACTGACACAGTAGAGGGCCACGTCAGTATATATACTGACACAGTAGAGGGGCCACGTCAGTTTATATACTGACACAGTAGAGGGCCACGTCAGTTTATATACTGACACAGTAGAGGGCCACGTCGGTTTATATACTGACACAGTAGAGGGGCCACGTCAGTTTATATACTGACACAGTAGAGGGGCCACGTCAGTTTATATACTGACACAGTAGAGGGGGCCACGTCAGTTTATATACTGACACAGTAGAGGGGGCCACGTCAGTTTATATACTGACACAGTAGAGGGGCCACGTCAGTTTATATACTGACACAGTAGAGGGGCCACGTCAGTTTATATACTGACACAGTAGAGGGCCACGGTTTATATATACTGACACAGGGCCACGTCAGTTTATATACTGACACAGTAGAGGGCCACGTCAGTTTATATACTGACACAGTAGAGGGCCACGTCAGTTTATATACTGACACAGTAGAGGGGCCACGTCAGTTTATATACTGACACAGTAGAGGGGCCACGTCAGTTTATATACTGACACAGTAGAGGGGCCACGTCAGTTTATATACTGACACAGTAGAGGGGCCACGTCAGTTTATATACTGACACAGTAGAGGGGCCACGTCAGTTTATATACTGACACAGTAGAGGGCCACGTCAGTTTATATACTGACACAGTAGAGGGCCACGTCGGTTTATATACTGACACAGTAGAGGGCCACGTCAGTTTATATACTGACACAGTAGAGGGCCACGTCAGTTTATATACTGACACAGTAGAGGGGCCACGTCAGTTTATATACTGACACAGTAGAGGGGCCACGTCAGTTTATATACTGACACAGTAGAGGGGCCACGTCAGTTTATATACTGACACAGTAGAGGGGCCACGTCAGTTTATATACTGACACAGTAGAGGGGCCACGTCAGTTTATATACTGACACAGTAGAGGGCCACGTCAGTTTATATACTGACACAGTAGAGGGGCCACGTCAGTTTATATACTGACACAGTAGAGGGGCCACGTCAGTTTATATACTGACACAGTAGAGGGGCCACGTCAGTTTATATACTGACACAGTAGAGGGGCCACGTCAGTTTATATACTGACACAGTAGAGGGGCCACGTCAGTTTATATACTGACACAGTAGAGGGGCCACGTCAGTTTATATACTGACACAGTAGAGGGGCCACGTCAGTTTATATACTGACACAGTAGAGGGCCACGTCAGTTTATATACTGACACAGTAGAGGGCCACGTCAGTTTATATACTGACACAGTAGAGGGGCCACGTCAGTTTATATACTGACACAGTAGAGGGGCCACGTCAGTTTATATACTGACACAGTAGAGGGGCCACGTCAGTTTATATACTGACACAGTAGAGGGCCACGTCAGTTTATATACTGACACAGTAGAGGGGCCACGTCAGTTTATATACTGACACAGTAGAGGGGCCACGTCAGTTTATATACTGACACAGTAGAGGGGCCACGTCAGTTTATATACTGACACAGTAGAGGGGCCACGTCAGTCTATATACTGACACAGTAGAGGGTCCACGTCAGTGTATATACTGACACAGTAGAGGGGCCACGTCAGTTTATATACTGACACAGTAGAGGGGCCACGTCAGTTTATATACTCACACAGTAGAGGGGCCACGTCAGTCTACTACCCCCTGCAGATTCCTGTGTATCATCTGATTCTAACCGGTTACATAATGGACGTACTCCCTGACTTGGCCGACTTAGAGGACCAGATAATAACCCATGTAGTATACATAGCAACCAGCTTGGAAATTCACACAAGTGCCCCCGGACTGACTGACTGAGTTTGGTTTTACGCCGCTTTTAGCATTATTCCAGCAACATCACGGTGGGGGACACCAGAAATGGGCTTCACACATTGTACCCATGTGGGGATTCGAACCCGGGTCTTCGGCGTGACGAGCCAACGCTTTAACCATTAGGCTACCCCACCGCCCCAGTGCCCCCGGAGATAACACGATGACAGTTACGTGAATATTTTGAAATTGAAACATGTTTTCAACTCTTGGTATATTGTACAAAAGGATATCACAGTGGCCTCCTTCTAGGGGACCACCGCCGTGGTGTAGTGGTTATAGAGCGTCCGCCCGGAGAGCGGAAGGTCGCGGGTTCGATACCCGGACGCGTCATACCAAAAGATGTTAACATATGGTACTTGTTGGTCCTTGTCTGGCGCATTAATGGGTAAAACAAGGAATAGTCGGCTCGGAGTCAGTATAATGTGCCTGAGTGGGGTATTCATGCTTAACTGCGGCATGATATTTCAGTGAGCTAGCACTATAAAGCCAGCTTAAGTCTGGGCTTGTACAAACAGCCACAGGCATGCACATCGTCATATGAGCGAAATATTCTTAAGTGCGACGTTAAACCCCATTTCACCTCACCTCACCTTCTAGGGAAGACGAGTCTACTTATAGCTCAGACGTTTCCTGAATGTAAACAAACACACGTGTACATTTGTCCTTCCACACAGCCCGACAATTAGCATCACCCACAAGACACTTTCTCACCACAGGCCCTCGTGTCTTTGCGAGGATTAAAGATTTTATAAAATATATACAAAAATTTGAGATGACCCCGACTCGAAATGCTTCACAGTTCAATACTTTATGACAAGGCCGGACACTTCGGTATACCCCACCCGCCTGCTTTGAGGATCGCTACGCTACCATCGCATGCACTCGATTAAAACTTCATGTGAACATAATCATGGATGATTGGCCTATCGATCATCACTCATGACACCTACCATTTCTTTATTGTCATTTCTGAAGTCGATTGAATCGCGATTTTGACTCTCAACTAAACGATCTTGACACCAATGGATGACGATATATCCGCACAAAATGGGGGTGCGGTCGAAGCAAGCCCTCTGGTTGGTTGATGTTTGTTAAGGAGATATTTACAAATGAAACTTTCTTTCGAGAAGCCATTGCTGGAAAAGAAATCTTACATTTCTTCCAAGTCAAGCAGTCGATGAAAGTAAAAATTCCCGAGAATTTATAAAGAATGTGCAGATTTAGCAGCGTTGACCAACCAGAGGGCTGGCTTAGACCACACCGATAGCGCAGCGATCGGCAAAGCAGTCGGGTGGGTAGTCTGTCTCGCAGTCCCTGAACCACATTAATTTCCCTACTGCCAAGCCCTCTCTGCAGTGCTAAAGCCCTAAATAAAGCAAGTCTAGATTTCCTCAGGTTCTGAATCTCTGGTCTCCCTAGGGCTCCTTTTCAATATAAATGGGCTTGTTTGTTACTATCAAAATTATATATATTCAGAGACTAAGCCTTAGTCTATCGGGTGGGGTGCACCGAAGTGTCCGGCCTTGTCATGATGTATTGTACTGCGAAGCATTTCGAATCGGGGGTCATCTCAAAAACAATATTTTTTAAAATCATTAATCCTCGCAAAGACACGAGGGCCTGTGTTTCTCACATCCGTACTCACTGCAGACTAGGGATGGAGATCTGTAGATTCACAGTATTTTAGAAAACCCGCAAAGAGCTAACATTAATGCAGATATACACGTGATTAAATTGGAGGAAATAACCGGGACCTGACGTGCATTAAGATTGGCTTGCGCCGTTGAGAATGTTGACAGAGAAAGAAGAGACTTCATCGGTTTTATTGGAACATGAATGTGATGACGAATGGCCAGTTTTGCAACGCTGAGGGATAAAGGCAAACATATTAAACAAGTTATATGTGTAATATAGGCATGCAGTGTGGTCTATGTGAGCCTCAGTTTCTAGCAACAGCTGCTTATCTTTGTAATCAGTCTAGAAGATGCACATTTTCCTCCATCGACCGCCAAGTCATTGGTTAAGCGACGTATGTGTGATGTAACAGGATATACGTTGTACAGCAACCTGCACTCGAACCGACTCCTAGTCAATGTTACCTCTGTCAAAAGTGCAAACATCCTTATCGAAGACATGACAGCCCAAATCAGGAATATATCACTGCTGACCCCATACAAAGTGATCCCTCCAATCTTAATGTAAATAAACGCTTAACACCACCTCCCTCACCCCTGGTCACCCCTGGTGCCAAAACCCACCCCTCCCGGCCCATTAATCCACCCTCCTTGAACATCTTCACCAATCACATTCTCCTCATCATCAACAAGTGAACGCCACGGCTCTGACGCCCTATGCTCTGGTCTGCTGGTCTGCGCATGACGAGGGGACCATAGGTTCCCAGGGACCTGTGGGTGCAAACCCTTCCTCACCCCCTAGCGGCGTCCTGGGAGAATTCGTCGGTCACCGATTCATTTACCCCTACAGCCTCAGTCTGGTTCGTGACCCACATACACGCTACCGGTCCCATTCCAAGGTGAGCGTGGTTGCGACAAGAAACCTGTCCGGAGTCTTTGTGGAACACAAGGTAAGATTCCAGTTAAACTCTCCCCTCGATCATTGCAACAGAGGAATCTGCAATATTTACTGGACTTATAACCTGCAGTGATTTCACTGTAGAAATACAAGATCCACATACTACATATCATCACCTTAGACTCAAGACATGTTTATCGTTACACTGGCAGGGGCAAGTTGTGTCGCTGTTTTTGTTGTTGTTTGTATATAAATATTTGCAGCACTGCAAAAGTCATAGCGCATGTGATATTAAGATTATCAGAGTAATGGAGACGTACAGTCAGTGGTATTGCGACAGTTAAACTTCTCCCAGTCCTACCAGTGGCACATTCCGTGAAGTGTATAACAGATGGTTCTTTTCACATTGATATGGAATATCACCAGTTTGAGTTGTCGCCAGGGACTGTGTGTGGGAACGCCAGAGTTTGGGTGTGGAGCAGACTAACGCTTAGTCTCTAAATATATATGATGTTGATAGTAACAAATAAACCCATCTAAATTGAAAAGGACTCCAAGGAAGACCAGGGATTCAGAACCTCGAGAAATCTAGACTTGTTTCACTTAGGGCTTTAGCATTGCAAGGAGGTTTAGGCTGTAGGGAAAATAGAAATAGTTCAGAGACTGTGAGACAGACTAGGTGTGGAACAACTGCTCCCGACGGTTTAACACATGGAGCATCCATAGAGTTGACCCATCTAGCACTTGACAATTACGCGACGATCTGTCCCCGCAAATGTTTTGGGAAGTGTGCCCTTGGTGTCAGCTTAGTTGGATCCCACTGGTGAGCAACGAACGATACACTCATGATGCAGAGTTATCTATATAGACAGAGAAGAAACAACTTACTATGTTTGATTATTCCTAGTAAGTGCTGCGTGACTCGCCTAAATCACGGACTGATCATTCAATAGGTTGGAAATCGATACTGTGCACACACGAGTTGTTTACAGGTCACAATGTTTACATTGCTCGCTGCTCTCAAGGCTGACCTCTGACCTTTGACCCAACCCCCGATGGCAGGTGTGGATGCCCTAGAACAAGTTCCCGCGTTCCCCGTCCCGCATTTATCAGTGTCGTTTACTGATAACAAGTGTTTCTCTCCCGTCTCAACCCTGTCCCCAGCTGGTGGGCTGTTAGACCGTCACAGTTTACAAGGAATGAAAGACGCGACACTTGATACTCTTATTGGTACTACTTTTAAGTTGATATGTCAGTGACAGTATACCATCACGAAGGATCACGTGACAGGCGTAGTTATCTGACCAGTACTAGCTTCTGTCAACCCCGCATCTGTCCGAGTACAGAAGCTGCATACCGAGTAATTAACGATAGAATCAAACCATGAGCACTGTTTAGAAGGACACAATGTGTATGTAACTAACTGTCAGTATAACGCTGAATATTTATTGCAAACTGCTAATAAACCCATTTTAGTTGTACACATTGATGTGAAACAATATGTAAGTACATGTACACGGGACACTGCGTGTGTGTGTGTGTGTGTGTGTGTGTGTGTGTGTGTGTGTGTGTGTGTGTGTGTGTGTGTGTGTGTGTGTGTGTGTGTGTGTGTGTGTGTGTGTGTGTGTGTGTGTGTGTGTGTGTGTGTGTGTTATCCCTGGACTGTTAATGCAGACTGGAGATTCAAATGAAATATTATATAAAACAATATCTGGCTCTGATATCTCTGGCATGCTGCCGCCTGGACTAGCAGGCACCGGGCTGGTGAGTGAGTGAGTGTTTCCCCACTGTCTCGGAGCAAGGTTACCTACTCGTGTCCTCGGTGAAGACAGACAGGTCCATCTATCTGTGCACATCACCATTGATCAAGCATTAATGTTGTATATGCTTTGGAAACTTTACTCTAATTAAAACATAAACAAAACTGAAATTAGAAACAATTTACTTGCAATTTGAGACGATCACAGAAGGCGTGAAATTGAACAATGCCGGAACCTATTGTCACCATGCCATCGATTTGATTGTCACACAAGCAAACTTAAATCCACACAATCAAGTTCTGAAATAGTGATTGTTGTGATTATATGAACCGCGACCACATCACTACGTTTTATAGCCACCCCTCGCACAGATAACATCTGCATGTCGCACTGTCACACTATCAGCGCCGGCACCGTCTGCCGCTCCTCATAGAGTGGCTGTGTCTGTTCCTGAATTTTTAGAATAGGCGGACCTCCAGTTCGAATTTGGCGTCCAGGATAGTCCCAAAGATGTTCGATGGGGTTCATATCTGTGCTGCCTGTGAAAGATGGTTATGTTTCGATGGAGTAGTTCTGCAACTGGGCTATGGCGGCTCCAGAACGGTCAGGCGGTGCCATACATGGATATTTGGAGATCTGACAAGGGAATGATTATCAAAGTGTTCACGGTATACCGTACTTCCTGTTGATAACGTTGACCATATTTGAGTGTCCCGGTTAGTGTTATGAGATCCTACTTGCAGTCATAGGAGACGGAGCCCCACATCATCACTGATCCACCACCACCAGTAGGTTCAGCTGCGTGGATCTCCTGGTGATATAACTCGGTAATCGACAACGGCTTGAGGTAAGGTGTAGAACACAGCGACTGTCGTCAGCACGATGAACCATACCTTATATCCGCAAGTTGCCGTTTTCTCAGAGTCTGCACCGCGTCAGACGTTTCTGCGAGAGCCTGTCTGTGAGGAACGGACGACAGATCGGACAACTTGCCCTGAGATGAGCAGCCTCTTCTGGTGGTAATGGATGAGAGTCGGACTCTCACTGTTCAGTGCTAGCGCACTTAGGTCATGGGGCTGCGTCTTGAAAGACGAATTAGGACTCGGTCTTCACGGTCATTGGTCTTTCTCGGACGATTAATAACTGTGTGATTAATGTTCAAGTACCGATGCTTTCTCATGCATACCAATAACTAATCATCGTGTACTTTCTGAAAATCTACAGTAATATCAAAGATTACCTGTGAATTCCGGTGTGCGCAATGTGTATATTTGAATAGCAAGAAAGGGAATTAATGAACTCAATAACGTTTGTGGAACTGCTGGAACAAAGGCTGTTTTCAGTGTGATATGAATGGTGTAAAAGCGGTACACACTGGAATCACTGCACAGTGTACGGAACCGAATGCAAGAGCAACCGAACACATTCGGTGGATTCCGTTGAATTACACGTCGATTTATTATTGACATATTAGGGCTGATAAAGCAAGCAACTAGCATATGTATTTCATACACAGATACCATTACAAAGTCATAATGTGTTATGTGGACTACCACACCGTTGTCAGGTATGCTGAGTGGAAGGACCGATATGTCAGACAGTCAACTCGACCATTCCATAAACTCAGTCTTGTCCGACCTGTTCGGAGACTAAACCCGACTGCTGCCCGTATCTCACGCGTTAGATATTAAATCTGATGCACGTGACGTTAGTTCAATGTCATGGCCGACGTTATGCATTAAAGTCAAAATTTCGCGTGAAAAGGGAATTTCAAACTAAAGAGAATTTCTTGTTTTGTGGCTTTTGTTTGTCCCGCAATTTTTCCCCCCAGATATGGTGGTGGTGTTTATCGTCAACGATCAGTTTGTGTTGGATACAGCCACTCACCGACTTTCACATACAGTCTGTGTATGTCCAATACACGGAATATTTTCTTGATATCCTAGAAGCATTTTACGGTATCAGTAATTCTGTTTTCGATATCCTAAATTAATAAAAGATATTTTTACTGATATCATACAAAACATTATTGATAACTACAAATACGATACAGATATCTTTAAAACAATTGATGTATTAGTAAATGTGAAAACGGCTTGCCATGAAATCACACGTTATGCAGCTATCTCGGATTCAGTTGAATGAATACATTGCAAGTTTTCATTCAAAGAGCTAAGCAGCGTGGCAATGGTGGTGGTAGTGGAGGTAGGGATGGTAGTGGTAGGGTAGTGGGGATGGTAGTGGTAGGGTAGTGGGGTTGTCTACATCAATCCGGCATTAGTCGTGAGATTCCTTTGTCTACATCACCCCGACCTCACCGGCGGTGTACATACTGGGTTATGTTCCCCCTGAGTCACCGACAACACGATGGACGCTTGGTGGGACGTGTATGGCGGTTATCTCTACAACATGTCAGCTAAACCCCTTTAGTATCTGCTTGAGATACATCTGGCATTTTACCACATCTGAGTCATCAGTTAAAAGTCAGATACTCTCGTCGTTGATTCATTCTTTGAAGGATTCTGTATCATCAAACGTTTTTGTGTTCTATTTTTTATCATGTATAAAATATATAGCTTGAACGCTTTCCAACACACAGTGTCCTTTTAAATGACCTTCACGGCACGAGAGGGTTTTGCAATGAAAGGGAATGTATAGATTGTGACCTTCATGGTGCTGTATTATATCGTGAATGTATAGATTATGACCTTCATAGTGGTGTAGTACATCGTTTATAGTGCTGTAGTACATCGTGAATGTATAGATTGTGACCTTCATGGTGCTGTATTATATCGTTTATAGTGCTGTAGTACATCGTGAATGTATAGATTGTGACCTTCATGGTGCTGTAGTACATCGTGAATGCATAGATTGTGACCTTCATGGTGCTGTAGTACATCGTGAATGTATAGATTGTGACCTTCATGGTGCTGTATTATATCGTGAATGTATAGATTGTGACCTTTATGGTGCTGTATTATATCGTGAATGTATAGATTATGACCTTCATAGTGGTGTAGTACATCGTTTATAGTGCTGTAGTACATCGTGAATGTATAGATTATGACCTTCATAGTGGTGTAGTACATCGTTTATAGTGCTGTAGTACATCGTGAATGTATAGATTGTGACGTTCATAGTGCTGTAATATATCGTGAATGTATAGATTGTGACCTTCATAGTGGTGTAGTACATCGTTTATAGTGCTGTAGTACATCGTGAATGTATAGATTGTGACCTTCATAGTACTGTAATATATCGTGAATGTATAGATTGTGACGTCCATAGTGCT